TAGGACAAAGTATGCAGGAGGAGAAGCATGGCAAAGTTGAGATGACTTGGATGGGAAACGAATCACAATGGTGTGCATTGCTTTGGCAATGCACACTGATTAGGACAATTCTTGGAGTGCGGCCCTGTGATGGACTTGCAACCTGTCCAGGGTGTACCCCTACCCTCGCACTGTGACTGCTGGATATGGGCACCAGTGACCCCCGTGACCCTGAAAGGAAGAAACTGGAATATATAATGGATGGATGGATGGATGGATGGATGGATGGATGGATGGATAGCTATGTGATTTTTCTTTTCAGCTGTTATGTAAAGTGCCCCCCACCCTTCTGAAAGTATTATAGTCATAAAGTTACTGGATCTTTAAAGTGCTAATGAAACAAAACACACAGACCTGAAACTAACCTCYACAGAAACACCTTAATTCAATCTTYATCAATCTTTACCACAAYGTGATGGGAAAATATAACAGAGACCATGTTACATCCTTCTGTTAAACAATCTTTAAAAATAACTTCATTTTTCCACACGCTGGTGCTCATATTTTGTTTGGAATCCAATATCTCAAACAGCTTCCTTCACAGAAACTRGGGAAGATTTCCACTAACAGTATTTAGGTCACGAGTTAGTGGTGGCTGTAAACCACAGTTTCTGTTYAATCAGTTTTCTGAAGCTGTAGTTAAAAGCTTTTAAAATGATGTGTTGCTTCACTTTAACACCCACCCCCCCAAAAAAATCTCTTATTTCTTGTACAGTTAAAGTTTTATGTAGCAGCTGATTTTATTAAGTTCAAACTTAACCACATAAAACTAAAACAACTCCATGTTTGTGATTATATACTGACTTTTCTTCTTGTGAGTGAAATTTGAAACTCTAGGTTTGTGGTCAATAATCTGACAAGAATGTACTCCACCAAACGCACACAGGCACAGTGAGATAACAGAAATGTCTTTAAAGCAGGAAGTGGTGCCTCCCTTTGGTGGAAGTGTGGAAAAACAGAAAAAGATGTGAAGTGTTGGATCTACTTATCATTCCACTGATGGCTCTTTGTTACTATTCCCCACAAGAATCTTACTTCATGTAAAGTTAAGACTCTTTTTTTATTTGATCTCCTGTGAACAAAACAATCCTGTAAGTTCACACGTCCGTCACACAATCAGCCTTTAGTTAGATTCACAGAAGTCTCTCTGGACTTTGACCTCAGCCTTTGAACTTCAAACATTCTTTTTATTTTTTTCTCTGCTTTGCTGCTTTGAGAAATATTACTCAGTTTCAGTTCGAGACACAGGTTCTCCATTATATAAACATAAAATGTACCAGGAAAGAAGAAAACTATGTTGATTTGTAACTTTTTCATGTCAAATTTTCTTTTTATTTAAATTTTTTAGATATTTTAAGTTATTTTAATTATTCAGTCCTTTCAGTAAAAAATGGTCTTTTTGTATTAGTTTAACTCATTGCATTAGTTTACATTTAAAAACATGAAAATGACCTCATATAGTGTAATATATTACCTAATATTGTTTTTTAGACCAAAAGTAAAGTAGCATTCATTAAAAAAATGCATATTATGTGCTGCTGCATGCCAAAGTTTTAAACAAAGATGTGTTCTGTTAGCACTGCAGACGATTTTCAGCTTTAGTTCGACATCTGCCAAATCTACTGTAGCTGTGGGGGTCAATCAAGTCAACTCCAAATCTTTATTAATTGTTTCTCCAATGATTACTTTGAGATTTTTACTAAATCTTTTCTCTGTTTTTTGATMGATTTTGTTAACAGACAAACAAAACACAAACAGATGATCAGATGATTACATCTGCTTTCATGGTAGCAGGTGATAATCAGCCTATTCAGTCTTATTAAAAAAAATCAACATCATGACATCACTGCAACAGAGACACAGCACTGGTGTCTGCTTTAGTGCTGAAAATAAATAATTTACAGAAAGCAAACTATTAGATGTCAGTTTAAGAAACTGGCTGAATTCTGAATGAATGAAATGGAAGATCATGTTTTAACTTTATTTTGAGAAAAAAAAAAATCCACAGATTTTTCTTTGCACAAACTCAAACAGAAACATTAGAAATCTGGTGAAATTGTTCCGAAGTTTGTTGCCTTTAACTGTCAAATTTAGATTTTTTTCTCTATTAGATCAACATAATGGGATATTTTAATTCACAATTCGTTGACTTGTTTTGTTTTGGTGACTAACGACTGAGGAAGTCTTTCAAACGTCTGTTTGGTGATGACATCAGTCTGTTTTGAGCTCATAGTTTCAGAAGGTGCAGGACAACATCACCGGACACACAACCATATTTGGTGTCTGCGACACAAAGGATTTGTAATTCAAAACACAGAGTCACCGCTCCCATCGGTGAATGACTCCACCCACCTGATTTTCAGGTGAAACTGTGTGTGTCTGTGTGTAGGAACAGTGATGGAGCATCCTGGTTTCATTCAGCATTTATATTTGTAAGATACTGTGGTAGAAATTTGTGTTTTATTGTCAGTGCAAAAAAAATATATATAGTTTTTAATGTTTCTTGCACAAACTGAAGAAAGCGTTGTTGGGGTGAAGGTAAACAGGCTTGGGGAGTTTTGTGGGGGAGGGGGAGGATCTRCACTGTGATGATGAGGGTGTGTTGTTTCCTCCACCACTCCTCCTGCTGCAGGCTTATGTACCTGSTCTCTGAATCCTCCGCCACTCAACTCATCAGGGAACAGGAGACGAACAACCTGAGTCGCTCCAACAGAAGAAATTCGACCCACAAAGAGAAATTTAAAGACTAAAAAGGACCTTTTTTTAAATTTCATCTCAGACAGCAAGTCATCCGTTGACAATGGTGTCTACTGGGTTCCAAATCCTGGGCACAGCCCTGGGGATCTTAGGCTGGATCGGCGCCATCCTTGTTTGTGCCCTTCCCATGTGGAGGGTCACCGCTTTCATCGGCAGCAACATCGTGACGGCACAGACCATCTGGGAGGGCATCTGGATGAGCTGTGTGATCCAGAGCACGGGCCAGATGCAGTGTAAGGTCTACGACTCCATGCTGGCCCTCACCGCYGACCTGCAGGCCGCCCGGGCCCTCATCATCATCTCCATCGTGGTGGGCATCCTGGCCATCCTGCTCTCCGTGGCCGGGGGCAACTGCACCAACTGTTTACAGGACAAAACGTCGAAGACGAAGGTGGGCATCGCGTCTGGGGTCATGTTCATCATATCCGGGCTCCTCTGCCTGATACCAGTCTGCTGGACGGCTCAGACCGTCATCCAGGACTTTTACAACCCTATGCTGACCAGCGCTCAGAAGAGAGAGCTGGGCGCTTCGCTTTACATCGGGTGGGGCGCCGCCGCTTTGATGCTGATCGGAGGGGGAATGCTCTGCGCCAACTGCCCACCGAAAGACGAAAATAGATACGCCGCCAAGTACACAGCTGCCAGATCCAACATCTCAGCACCAGCATCGTCCAAAGGCTACGTCTGAGACAACTCTGGCACGTTAACCGGGACAAACGAACTGGTGCTACTGGTGGAAACTCAWCACTGATTCTAGTGTTTGAGGCGAGACACGATCTATGCATCAAAAAGAAATTTCATTGTCAAAGTTGGTTTCTTTGTGGTTTTAGAATGTACGGATATTAGTAAACTTTCCTCACTCACTTTTAAACTTTTAAAATGCATAWATGTAAACTCTTTTTCAGTCAGTTGGATTTCTTTTTAATGAACCATGTTTGTGAGTTGCATTGTGTCACATTTTGTAAATAAACATGATTTTGTAAAAAAAAAACTGAACTTATCTGTTGTCTTTATTTTCACAAAGCTGTTTCCTATACAATCCTTTAAATGGTCTTAAAATATATATTTTGCTGAACTTTGCTGCGTTTATTTTTTGTAAACATTAGTTCAATGTTTTACACACTGAACAATCTGTTCTCAACTGAATTTTGAACTAATTGACAATCCACTTAAAAAAAATACCACCAGCGTCTTTTGTTTGACTTTCTGGTTGATCAGGTTTGGGTGTGACGACAAAAAGAAGTAAGTCGGGTTCAAACTGCCTTTGTTCAAACTGTGAGCCTTCTGGCAAAACAATTTGAACTTTTTGTACGCATAAAAGACTTTTTGTTCTGTTTGGTAGCAAGGTAAAAACATACCTTTGTTCAGTGTCGGTTTAATCKTCTAAAAAGAAACTTCCTTTATGCCGAGATTTAGAATTCCATTAATATGTTTTTTGTTAAGTTAATACATCAACACCCTGACTGTGAAAACACAGATTTACCCCTCATATTTAAATAAAAACTCTTTGGGTTTAGCGTTTTTAACCACTGGATATGTTTATTTGCACCCTTTTTCACCCATTTCCAATCTGTTTTTATTGAAACACTGAAGAAAACATTGCTGTGTTTGCTCAAGGCGTGAGCTGACCTACATGCGAGGCTGATTGGTTGTGTGTTCAAACACAGCTTGCACCTGAAAGCCATTGTTCCCGATCTTTAAACGTTCCTTGAGGCATCGAAGCTTGTWTGTCTGGGAACAATGAACCAGAACTGTGAGTATCAGGTCTCAGGTTTCCCCCTTTGTCTGGTAGAACATTAACTCCACCCTGAAGTCTGAACCACAAACCGTTTCGACTCACTGACTTCGAAGCACCAGAGCAAAAACCCCTCAACCAACCAGTACTTAAGTGTTTAATAATTCTTCAAGACGTGACCGTTTTGTGGCTCCAACATGGCTTCTCAGGGAATGCAGCTCTTGGGTATCCTGCTAGCCTTCATCGGCTGGGTGGGCACCATCGTCACCTGCGCTCTGCCCATGTGGAGGGTCACCGCGTTCGTCGGGGCCAACATCGTGACGGCGCAGTTGATCTGGGAGGGCTTGTGGATGAGCTGCGTGGTCCAGAGCACGGGCCAGATGCAGTGCAAAATGTACGACTCCATGCTGGCCCTGCCTCAGGACCTGCAGGCCGCCAGAGCCATGGTCATCATCTCGGTCATGGTCGGGGTGCTCGGCACGCTCATGTCCGTCGTCGGAGGGAAGTGCACCAACTGCATTGAGGACGAGGCGTCCAAAGCTAAAGTCTGCATCCTAGCCGGAGTGATTTTTATCATCGCCGCCTTGCTGATCCTAATCCCAGTCTCCTGGTCRGGTCACACCRTCATCAGGGACTTTTACAACCCTCTGCTGACCGAAGCGCAGAGACGGGAGCTCGGAGCATCTCTTTACATTGGATGGGGCTCGGGTGGGCTGCTTCTGCTGGGAGGAGGTCTGCTCTGTAGCAGCTGTCCCCMTAAAGACAACGGACCTTATATAGCTGCCAAGTTTGCCCCTTCAAGAAGTGTATATTCAAATGTGAACTATGTGTGAGTCCTTTGATGTCAAAGAAAACATTTCATTTTCATTCTTTAACCTCTCTAAATGAAAATTTAAAAAAACACTTCAACAAAGAAAATTTAAATATTCTAAATTGTTGATTTTTTTAGTTCTTATTAATTTCAAAGATTAATATTTTAGTTGTGTTATTGTTCCGTGTTCTCCTCCAATCTGAGCATTAATGAAGTCTAAATAATCYTTTTCACTGTTGCACAGTGAACCTCAATCATATGTTTAATCACCAGTACATTTCAAATGTCGATAATAAAGTGACTTTATTCATCCTGCTGCTATGTCTTTGTTCAGATTTCACCTGAATTGTGATCAAAACTGAAACTGTTCTCCATGAGATGATCCAACACTCAGGAATTTAACAAAACAAGCTTCTCGGAATGTACAGTATCTGCCTGAGGTGTTTGCCCATCTGCAACCGAGCGCCTTTGTGCTGAGACACTGATTTAGAGTTTCTGTCTGGAGTGAAATAGATGTCACCAGCAGAGACAACAGCAGACTCTGTGTGCTTGGATTGTTGTTGCTGAGGAACAGTTTTATACGTGAGAAGAATGGTGTTTTACTCTCGGTTAGAAAGCGTCTGCCCAGTCTTGGCAGAATGATAAACTCTTTATCCAATTCAAAGCCAAAACCTTATTTAAAAAAAAATCTAAAACCTAAAACTAAACTAAACCTCTGAAATATTTTATTGTCATGAACACAAAAGAATGAAACTAAATGTGTTTGTGGATGTTGCTAGTTTGTGTGTTTCATAAGGTTTTCAGAAATTTGTCTAACAAAAGAACAAAATGTATTTGTAGTTATTTAAAAAAAATCTAAAACCTAAAACTAAACTAAACCTCTGAAATATTTTATTGTCATGAACACAAAAGAATGAAACTAAATGTGTTTGTGGATGTTGCTAGTTTGTGTGTTTCATAAGGTTTTCAGAAATCCGTCTAACAAAAGGACAAAATCTATTTGTAGTTATTTAAAACAAATGTTTTCATTTAGTTCTCAACAGAAATTAGATACTATTTACTTAAACATTTTTAAAAATCTGCATTAACGTTTGAGTTAGTAAAACTATTTTTGATTCAGAATGCAGTCATTGCAGTTTTGTTTCAGATTACACAACCATTGTGTGAATCTAAAAGCTACTTATTTTAACTGGTTGGGACTGAATTACAACTTTRAAAAAATGGTAGTCATGCTAAACAACCCATAACACGGGCCCTGTCAYGCTATAACGTTTTAGACAACTTATGATAATTTATGAAAATTTTAAGACATCTACATTGAAGATGGAAAAAAAATAACTGGAAGCCTTTTTTAGATGTGTACTGTAATGCTAACAAATCTGTCAAATATATTATTTATTGATAATTTAGACATAAAAATCAAACATTATAGTGAGACCGACTTTAATACATATTATTTGTGTTCAGTTGTTATGTATTAAGATTTTTTGAATAAAATTAGATCAAATAAGTTGCAAATCATTGCGTTCCATTCATTTACATTTAATGCAGCATTCTGACATGTCAAACTGTCTCTAGAACAACAAATTAGGTGTTTTTCTTCTAAGCAAAAAACTGTAAACATTCCATTTTTGACAAACGAATTGTTTATTATTCGATCAAAAATACTCTTAAAAATACATCTCGCATGACGAACAAGTGCTTCTCTTTTAAAAAAAACGTAAAAAAAAATTGTAAGAAAGATCTTGTAAGTTTGAATGCACACAGTTAAGAAATAAAAAAGCACCAAAGCTAAAGGTTAGAAGGTTAATCTGACATGATAAAAACTTAGATATCTCCTGTCTTTCACAAACAGGTGCCACTTTTTGTTAGTCAAACAGAACTCCTCTCAATGCAAAACCCATCCTGACAGAGACAGGTTTGTTTTCTATGTGAAGTCATTTTCTCCCTGACRAATGCTCAGGTCTGCAGCAGCTCAGACAAACTCTCTCCCAGGCGTTGTGGATTTTGGTGGGGCGTATTTTGGACTGTTGAAGCGATCTCCTCCTGACGGACACTGACAGCACAGCAGAGCCCCGCCGATCAGCAGCAGGCCTGCGGCCCCCCAGCCCACGTACAAACACGCGCCCAGCTCTCTCCTCTGAGCGTCGGGCACCATGGGGTTGTAAAAGTCCTTGATGATGGTGTTTGCAGGCAGAGAGACGGTCACGAGACACAGAGCCCCACTCAGGAGGAAGAAACCCCCCGCAGAGATGCATACACGGGCTTTTGCCGCTTCATCATCGATGCAGGTGGTGCATTTGCCACCCACCACCGAGAGCAGGAGGCCAAACAGGGAGAAGAGGATGGAGATGACGATCATGGCTCGAGCCGCCTGCAGGTCTGGAGGCAGAGCCAGCAGGGAGTCGTAGACTTTGCACTGCATCTGACCTGTGCTCTGCACCACACAGCTCATCCACAGGCCCTCCCAGATGGTCTGAGCGACCACGATGTTGTTCCCAATGAAGGCCGAGACCTTCCACAGAGGCAGCATGCAGATCAGGATGTTTCCAACCCATCCCAGCACGGCCAGAGTGACGGCAAGAATCTGCAGCCCCAAAGATGCCATGGCTGCTTCTGCCTCTCCGTCCGTCTCTTCAGCTGAAATGCTTCTCCTCCKTTTGAGAAGTTTTATACGACCCCCGTCTGGGTGGGCACTCACATGTAAACATCCATCATGCTGCCTTTGAGTTCAGAGGCATTTCTCTCACACAAAGAGGCCCTGTAATGCCCTAAGAAGCACTAAGAAGAAGAAAAAAAAAAAGAAAGGAGCTTCAGGAGTTTCACAGCACAAGAAATACCAAAGAAATATTTATAATCAGTGGTGGACAGAGTACTCAACTCTAGTACTTGAGTAAAAGTATTGATACTCAGTGTCAAATCTACTCAACTACAAGTAAAAGTTACTCCRTCAAAAATCTACTCAAGTTAAATGTCCTGATGCATCTCAGTAATCCAGGTAGAAAAAAATCAAAAAGTAAAAATAAGTAGGTCCTCTGTGTGGGTTCTTCTTTAGTGAAACGTTTCATCTCTCGTCCAAGAGACTTTTTCAGTCTGTTTCAGGTGAACTCTGCCTTATAGGCACTACCTCCACCTGGACAAACAGGTTAGTCACATGCAAAAGAGGGCCATCAACTAACAATTGGATGGATATGGATTTTACAGAAAAGGCAGGTTTAGCTCAGCATCAAGTCCAAGACCCAACAACAAAAGAAGTTCACTTTACTGGTAACTCTACAGTCCCTTCGTAATTCCAACAACCAACAGAAGGTGGAACAACACACAGGAGCACAAGCAAATGCCAGGGAGACAGAGAAGTGGGTGAAAAATTTATCTGACASAGAACTCACACAGCCGGAAACCGAAATTCTGTCCAGAGGACTGAACTTTGCGGTCGCACCAAGAAGAATTCCTCTGGTTGAGATGATCACAGCCACAGAATCAGCCATTCACCACAACAAAATCCCAGAATTTTAAGCAGAACAACATAGGAACAAAGTTTCAGCCTGTCTCAGCAATGCAAAACCACCACCTACCAACATCAGTAGAGAAGAGAGAGACGCTCTCACCACCCTCAGCAAGGACAAGAACATCATCATCCTCCCAGCAGACAAAGGAAGGTGCACAGTGATTTTGAACCAGAAACACTTCCATGAGAAGGTTATGACTAGGGCTGCCATGATTAATCGATTAATCGACGACTAATCGATTATTAAAATAACCGATGACTAATTTAATAATCGATTAATGGTTTTCTTTTTTGTTGTTGTTCTTTACTTTGTTTTTCTCTCCAAACTGCTTTGACACCTTCCACTGCCACATCTGCCTTTCTGTCCTTGACACACATGCACAGTAGTGGTAACTGGGGTAGGCCGTGGACGTCACAAGACATTATACAGACAGGCTCTGGTATCATGGCTACCTGACAACAGAGCTCAAAGTGTGGGATCATTTTAAGAAAATAAGAGAAACCTGTGCAATATCTGTAAGGCAGAACTTGCCTTCCACAGCAATTATTTTTAGTTAGCATATAGCTAAAATCTAACCATGGTTATATAATAGCAGCTGCATTTTGACGTGATAAGCTCTATGTTTTTTATTCAATTAACCTATGATCCTGTAAGAAATACGTGTTTTAATATGGTATGTCCGAATAAACAGGATTCAGTTGGATTTCTTGTTAAAAACTTTATTTCAGTCCTCTGACTCCAATCAGCTTCATTCAGCTCTCAGCAGCACAGGCCTCAGCGTACAACCTTGGGCCAAACCAAAACAAACACGGGAGCTCTGCTCTGAGCAGACACTCTGCAAAAAACACTGACAACTTCTCTCTACTATAATAATGAATTGAGCTTATAATGTTTATCCCTTCCTGGTTACACCCCAGAGGTGTTACCTTTTACGTCAGACGTCAGAACGTACTCAGTTTTGTTTAGGCTAAGAGAAAGAACACATGATAACAAACCAACTCTTTGTCAGCTTCAACATTTCAGACTGAAATGATCAGAAAGTAGAAAATACAAAACTGAATCAAATTTTCAATTAATCAGTTACAAAATTTCTTCAATCCGATTAGTCGACTAATCGAAAAAATAATCGGTGATTAATCGATTATAAAAATAATCATTTGTGGCAGCCCTAGTTATGACACTCCTTGGTGACAAGACCACATACGAGCCACTGAAAAGAGATCCAGGAAGTGGATACAAGAAGAAGTTGATGAGTGCCTGAAAAAGTTAGGGCAGGACAAGGCTATTAAACGCATTCTGTACCACACGCTGTAAACAGGTGAGCCCACTCCTAGTCTGTATGGTTTACCCAAAATTCACAAACAGGATGTACCGGTAAGACCTATTGTTAGCACGATTAACTCTGTCACAATGTTTCCAAATATCTAGCGTCAGTACTTGGTCCATTAGTTGGCATGTCAGATCATCACATACAGAACACCATGGACTTTGTGAACAAATTGAGGGATGTCATCATGGAGACTGATGAAACTATGGTCTCCTTTGATGTCACATCACTCTTTTTGTGCGTTCCTGTTGAGAAGGAGGTGGATGTGGATTTGTGTAAGATTAAAATCAGACATCACTCTTAGCAGCAGAACCACTCTTTCCACAGAACTGAGTTAACTTCTGAAACTGTGCCTGGAATCAACCTACTTAACGTATGGGGGGCAATATTATAGGCAGAAACATGGATATGCTATGGGCCCCCCAGTTTCTCCTATTGTTGCAAACCTGTACATGGAGGAGGTGGAAAAGAGAGCYYTGATGTCCTTTTCAGGGGTGCCACCGAGCCATTGGTTCAGGTATGTTGACGACACCTGGGTTAAAATTAAAGCCCAGGAAGTCCAACATTTCACTGATCACATTAACTCTGTGGATAAATATATAAAGTTCACACGAGAGAATGTAAGTGTAAAGAGATTTGGACCAGAAATAAGACATTTTGACTAGAAATAAGAAGTATTTTTTGTAAGATTGAAGTTTTGCAGTGAACCTTTTCATTTACCATGGTTTGCTGTTACGTTCAGCAGCACTTTATTTTCTTGCATGAGGGCTCCCTTAGCAGTGAGGTTTTTGCCCATCTGCAGTGCAAGCACTTTGAGTTGGTTCTCGAGGCCAACCCAAACATTGAAAAAGTCATAGTTTGGAGTGATGGCTGCGGCTATCAAAATTGGTATTGTATCATCATAAATGCATAGGCCTACATAAGTCTGGCCACAATGTCACAATAGAACAAAAGTTTCTGGTTGAAGGGCACACACAAATGGAGTGTGACTCCACGCATAGCCTCATTGAACGGCGCATCATCAAATATATTCACACTCCACATGACTACATTGTCATTTTCGAGACTGCACATCTGTATCCATCCCCATACAAGGTCACCCAGGTATTCCACAATGACTTCATGAAGTTATCTGGGGCCTATGTCACCAATATTTGACCAGGAAGATAAACTGGAGACACCACAGTCCATGACCTTCAGGCTCTCCAGTATCTGGCAGATGGTTGAATCTGGCACAAGTTGGATTTTGAGTCTGTCTGGGAGGACCTGGCTCAGTGAATTAGCATCTCCACCATTCCATTGGGTCCCACTCTTTCCTGCCCAACCACCAATTACTCTCTGGAAATTCAATGACTTGCAGGCAATGAAACCAGTACTACAAAGAGTGGCCCRCTATTACTATGACAACTTCCCTCATCAGTAGACGGTGTGAAAACAAGTTAACACAGCACCTGAGCTGGACTTTGATTAAGGTTAGACAGGCACAACAACCTTTTTAAGGTTAAAATTTAAAACAATTTGCTAAAACATAGAAAATTAACACAACTTGGTTATGTTTAGGAGAGTAAACTAACGTTGCTTAGGGTATTATGTTTATATGTAAGAGAAAATTTGCCAAAGTCAAGGCATTTTCTGGCTAAGTCAGTTTTATTTGTTATGCAATCAGTGTTGTGTCTTACTTTTTTGGACACTTGTTCACACATTTGATTGAACTTTCTATTACAATATTAATGAAAAATTCCAATATGCTTGCTAAAAAGTTGTTTTTTGTTTTCCGAAAACGTTCAAAAATGACTTAGGCAATTATGCCATGTGGCTAACGAAATGATAATGTGAGGGTGATTCGAATATTAATACATCATCTTTACTGATTTATCACATATTGTTTTATCATGTAATTTGACAATTCCTTAGCCTAGACCTGCTCTGTTTAAGTTGAATCAACATTTTGTCATGAATAAATGTTTAAATTAGCCTGACAGCAGTTTGAAAGTTCATAGTCAGGATCATCTAAATATCTTCTTTTTTTCTTCTAAATAACTAAAATGAACTGTAACAACATGTACATTTAAGACATGCAACTTATAATCTTTAAAAAAATTAATGAAACATTTGAGTAAAATGTTTATTTAAAATCTTTCCAACATTTATCATCTGGCTGCAAAAGAACAGTTAATCATTCAGTTTGTATTTACTCAGATAAAAGCTGGAAGGACTGGCTAAAGAACTATTAACACTCCGTGATGGAGTTTGAGTCATGAATTTAACAACTACATATGAATTATAATGTAAAAGATGATAGTAGAGAAACCAGAAATATTTACACACAAACAGTGAATGAAAACCACTTGTTGTATTAACTATTACCCATAAAGGGTAATTTGATATAAAAGAATACTTAGAAATAAAATTCATAAAGCATATAAAACATTCAGAACACACAACATAAAAATAGTTGTGGACAATAGCAGTGATAAATGAGTAAAATATTTCTCCTGACAAAAAAAACTAACAATTAACTTTAAAACTGTGAACATTCAGACTGACATAATTAGAAATAAATGAAGAAATACATAAAATGACCAATGAATAAATAAATAATCTTAAAATGCATCAGTTAAATAAAAAAGGAGAACTTTACCTGATGTTTTATAATTTAATTGACACTCATGTTTGTTTCCCAGTTTACTTCCAAGAAATTATGTATTTTAAAACATAATTTAAATTTTACTATTTTAAAAAATAGATTTTTTTTGTTTTTCTTTATTTGTGTTTTTAAATGATTATATTTAATTATTTTGTTAACTTTTAACACAAGTCTTTTATT